CCCAGCCCCGTAGCTTGAACTTTGCCAAAAAATCGATAAAATGATAAAAGTAATGGGCTTTATCGAAAATGGTTATCATATTCGTAATCAGCATGTTCGATTACCCCCCTGTGCCAACTCCCAGCCCCGTAGTTTGAAATTTACAAATAATCGATAAATTTGGTAGAAGTAATAACAAGCTTCCATGCTGGAAAATGACAAACACGAAAACACCATCGAGGACCTACAGACAGCATCAACAAGAATGCTTATCCACCAGCGTACAGACAAGCCACCAGTGTACAGACAAAATCCCATTCGGTTTTATATATATAGAGAAGGATACATACAGACACACATTCAGCTTTATAGATAAGATTCGCAAAAGTGCTCTGCAGATCAGGAAGACAGCCGACAGCCTCCGTAACGACGCCCTGTGAGACAGGGCCGACAGCTATGGTGAGATGGGCACAACAAATGGGAAGGACCTCGTCCAAAACAAAGTAAATGGGGAATAAAAATGAAGAAGTGTAATGGATTCTGCATTTCACCATCCGATCGTTCTCCCTAAAGGTGCCTTCATACCGCGCCGGCAGCAGCCGTTAGCAGCCACCAGCAGCCCGTAGAGCCGCCAGCAGCCGCCAGCAGCCCGTGCAGCCCGTAGCCGCCGCTGGCTGCTTTTGTTATGGGAACGCAAACTCATCAGTATTTTGGGAATCTTTTACCCCTGCCTACTCTTTTCATTTTCCACGCTTTTCCTTCCCACCAGTGTGTATTCGCACAGATCATTTTTGTGTCCATTTCATTATCTTGACTCCGTATGGTTCATTCCTTGAACCATAAGTCGCAAATGTTTCTTTTCTTTGTGATTTCCTCGACTTTGAATGCTTCCTTTTCCTGCAGATGTGCAATTCGTTCACTTTTTGAGTATGCTTTTGCATCAATCTTCTTGTTAGATATCGATGCATATCTAAATTGCATTCTACTATTTCGCAAGTTTGCCGGATTGATTCGCGGGTGACTTCCGACTTTGACAATCGCTCGCAATCGTTATAGACAAGACAGATTGCCAAAGTGAAATGCAGGCACTGATAGGAGGATGCAAAGTGCGGCTACAGAACAATGGAGCAAATGTAAAGTGTGAAGTCAAACTGACATTCGCGGCAAGAGAAGAAAAAGCGTAGAAGATGAAAAGCGCAGGTAAAAGCACTCAAAGTAGTAAGAATCTGGTAATTTTTCGCTCCGGATAAAAAGCGGCCAGCGGCTGCTACGGGCTGCTACTGGCTGCTGCGGGCTGCTGGCGGCTGCTACAGGCTGCTACGGGCTGCTGGCGGCTGCTACGGGCTGCTACGGGCTGCTGGCGGCTGCTACGGGTTGCCAGCGGCGGCTGCCGACGCGGTATGAAGCGGCGGCTGCCGGCGGCGATGCTCTTGCGGGTTCTTTCGTGCTTCTTTCAGACGCGCCACGCGGAACTTCTTCTAAAATAGCGTCGAATAGCAGACAAAATATAATACGAAACAGCAGCCGATAATCGCGAAAGAAACGTTGACACCTCAAACTTGCGTAATTAAACCATTTATCGGTAAAGTAATTGTCGAATATTGTTGCGCCGAACAGGTTGTTAGGTGGCTTTTATTGTCAGTACTCTTCGGCCTTACGTTTCGAAGCTTTCGTCTTCATCGGAGCCCAGGAACCACCGCTCGTATGTCCGTACCGGATGTAGATGCTCGCGACGGACACTCGATGTTCGGTCGTCCGTTGCGATGACGAACGGTGGTTCCCTCGCCTCTGATGAAGGCGAAAGCTTCGAAACGTAAGGCCGAAGAGTACTGACAATAAAAGGACCCCTAACAACCTGTTCGGCACAACAATATTCGATACTTACCCTGCTCAGATTTAATGACAACGAAAGATTATCGGTAAAGTTTTCTACAAATAACATAAAGTAAACGAACAATAATACTAAGCGAACGAATACAGTGCTGGCCATAGCTATAAAGCCACCCTAAAAACACTGTATTTTGCTCTCTTGTTCGAAATTGTCTGAAAAACCACTATTCTGTGAGCAAACTAACATCATATCATTGACCAGAACGGCTCCCAATTTCATTGATTTTGGCTGGAGAAAATTTGAAAAATTTGAAAAAACGAGTACTCAAGGCTGGTCACAGCTATAAAGCCACCTCTCATTTCTAATCAGCACTACGTTTTTTAAATCTGAAATTTTTTGTACATATACAATATCAAAATATAAAACATTTACCACACTTGGAAGCAGTCTCCTTTTCAGAAAGAAGATTCATCCTGCATTTTCTGCTTCAAAATGTATAAAAAGTTATAATGTTTGAAAAAAACTGCCTTTTCACCGAATTCTCAAGCATTTGTCTGACTCAAATGAAGGTCCTAGGCTTCGCCGAGCCTTTGCAATGAGTATGGTAAAAAGCGCAGGAGTCAACATGGCGTAGTCGCTGGTATTGATGAACGAAGCTCAATCTTACCTAGGTGTAAACGCACTTCTGAAACGCAAATCTCGATTTCTGACGCGCGAAAACTCTCGGTTGGAAGTTGACACCTTGTTTGCATGGTGACGTACTCATGCAGAGGCTGTCAGGCTTTTTACAAAGACGTATTTGCAGCATTGAAGCCTTGTCTGCAGTTCGGTTGTGTGCAGTGTATCTCACATGACTTCAAACTGCTTTGAACTCCTCCTCAAGTCAAATCTTACAAAACTGTCAGGAATACTAGAATTTTGAAGTTTTGAACGGTTTTCCGCTCGATCGAGAGGTCAGGTGTCACGATCAGGCAGAGTGCACCACTCATTTTTGGAAAAAAGGCGTCCAAGGCGGAACCAAAATCCTGAGAGTTGCGATGATGTTCAAGCTATGCGCACGAGTCTATCGTTGTACAGGCGATGTGCTGAGCACGTGACAGAGCTTTTCGGGCATTAGAACTCAATTTCCTCGGTTCGAAAACTCTTCTACGTGGAGGTGAGGTTGGGGCTCGTTTATCAATATCAGCGACTACGCCATGTTGACTTCTGCGCTTTTCACCATATTCATTGCAGCGGATCGGCGAAGCCTAGGACCTTCATTCGAGTCAAACAAATGCTTGAGAATTCGGTGGAAAGGCAGTTTTTCCAAACATTATAACTTTTTATACATTTGAAGCAGAAAATGCAGGATGAATCTTCTTTTTGGAAAGGCAACTGCTTCCAAGTGTGATAAATGTTTTATATTTTGATATTGTATATGTACAAAAAATTTCAGCCTGAAAAAACGTAGTACTGATTGGAATTGAGGAATTTATAGCTGTGACCAGCCTTGGGAACCCCTTTTTTCAAAATTTTCAATTTTTCTCCGGCCAAAATCAATGAAATCGGGAGTCATTCTGGTCAATTATATGACGTTAGTTTGCACACAGAATAGTGGTTTTTTAGACATTTTTGAGCAAGAGAGAGCATACTACAGTCATTTTTAGGGTGGCTTTATAGCTATGGCCGGCACTGTAGTACGTGAACAGATAACTTGAAATTGCTTCTTTGTATCATGTTATGTATATCACTCAGCAAAGGTGACATAAACGGAGTAGTGTCAAAAATACAGAAGTGTGGATAATGGTATTGCGATGAAAATATAAGACAATATGGGCCGTACGCTGTTGGATTAAATTGAAGGCGAAACGTCGGATCGGCGAAGGTCGGCTTTGAATACTTCTTTTTGGAGCGGTTGATTTGAAAGATGCTGAGACTGGTGATCATGATCATATATTTTATTTTCAATGGTCAAAACAATCTCAGAATGAGAGTGACGCTAAGTGACGCTAAGTGACGCTTATAGACCGTCGTTTATAGATTCTGCATTGTGACCTTAAAAACTCACTCTTAAAGGCAGCCTCCATGCACCTGTCTTTAGTACCGTATTAAGCGGACGGATTGCATTGGTTTGCGGGGAATTGCACGGAGACCCATCATGTGAATGGCCCCGCGCATTAGGTGCAATGCTTCTAGTTTTAGGAAGGATATCTTAGCCTCTCTGCGCTGCCGTTTAGATAGTGTCTAAGTTAGGCCCCCAAAATCGGTTTCCACTTGCCATTCCCATGTGTCCACATTGATCCGGACGCTGAAAGCAATGGTCAAAACAATGTGCCAGTCTGTAACAAACTTGTGTAACTAAAAAAGCATTGTTTCCTCAGAGTGTCCTATGTGCCGCTTACTCACTCTTACTTATAAGTAAGAAATGTGCTACTATGTTTAAGAAAACTTTAACTTCAGCATTATATTTTCACCTTTCAAAATATGCCCCAATTCTTCAAGATTTTGCATCGGAAATGAATATTGTTTTTTCAAAATGCCCCATTCCGATACCAAGCGAAAGATTTGACCTCCTCAGTCATTATCGAGCTATTACCATTTAAGCCGTAGACACCCATGTATCTGAAGTTAGTCTACAGTACTGAAATAGGAATTGGGAGTGTGATGGATCACCAGCATATGTTTACACAGTAACGACTCTTACGGAAAATTTGGATAAAGATCTTACGAGGTCTGGCATCGTCCCAGAAACTCGGACAAAGACCTATATTCTATAAGAAAGCAGAATGGCAACAATTTTGGCAGCATTCCGAAACAGGCCTCACTGTGACACAATAAGGACAAAGAACAGTATAGTTCGACATGAATAGCAACAAAGACAAATATCAGTATTATCATGGTGGTGCAGCAGAATCTTTGTCTGCTCTCTCTTCATTTGCCCTGAGCCTTACTTTGAGGAGGAGCGGAGCAACAAACAAGTTCCCATAATATATTACGTAGCGATCTCTGAGAAGTGGCAGAAGTTTTTGAACAATCTATCACAAATCGGATTAACAAAGTTATCTGTGTTGGTTGCCGCAGAGGCTTGATTGGAGAGAAATTTCTGCCATGAGACTAGTGGTGACTAATTGTGTTCCAAAGTGATAACATTGAACAATCAATTTGCAAACTAATTCATTCAAGGTTAAAGAATTCAGTTGATGAATTTTTCGGTTATTATGTTGCTATGCTTTGTTTGTTCTCGTACTACGTCTGTCAACAGCTTCGTTGAAAGCTTGAACATTCGGCATATTCGCCTAAAAGGATTTTGATAACATAGATATATAGCACTGAAGCTACTCACCACCAACTGAAGAGTATCACTCAGCTCAAACGCTGCTTCTGATGGTCTCGCTGATGGGAGCGGAGTGTCAATCGCGTTGTCTGCATTTTTTAGTGCTTCTTCAACCTCCGCGGGTGATTCTTTGGAGAGTTTTATTTTCTAAAATGGTCATTCTCGGTTCCCATCTGACAGTGCCTCTCATTCTAAAGCAGGCCTCATGATTATTCTATATACTATACCCCTACGCACGTAAAGGCGAGTCTTGCACTCAGAGACTGGGCGCCCTTGCATCCAACTACGACAGTCTGCGCTTCAAAGAGACAATGGCAAGAGAAAGGAAAGAGAGTTTGATCATGGAGACACCGACTGTACTCGTTGACACCCTATCTCTGTGTGCGATGAATAGCCTTACATCCCCGCTGGGGAGACAAGGAGAGGTGGGAAGAAGCGCGTCATATCTCGGGTTCTAGATATTTAGTCGTGTTCCTATACCTCATGAGGGTGCTCGTACCCTGATACTTGAGCATAATCTACTATGTGAGGGCGTAGTCATACATGCTGAGAATTTCACTATTCCATATGACCCCCCAAAGTATCCGATTATCCCTTGTTTTCAAAGTCGTCTATCTTCCTAAAATCTTAGTAGAGTCGTGAAGTTGTGGTGCGAACCTGTTATGACACTGCCGAGCATGTCCTCAATAAAAATACAGTCCTCACACTATGAAATCCTCGATAAATCACTGTTCACGAGCTGTGTAAAACAGGCACAAACTTCAGATTCATTTGTCTGCTGAGAACATGTCCAGCAGTTCCATGCTAAACCCTCAGTACATCTTCACGTAGAGCTTACAGAAAAATAGACGTCCGTACGGAACCCCGGGGACCATACAAAACGTGACAATTTCAGCTTGTATGGCAAGTCTTACAACTGTGCTCATTATCAAGGTATCTTCATAAGGGCCGCATGCATCAACATCCCCGTCTCGAGGGTATCGCTGCTCAAAACACTATGAACACATTGAACAGGAGCAAGAAGCTGTACACCGCATTTTTCAGCCTTTCATATGATCTCCTGATGATCCCCGGCGGCTGACCGTCTTTTCTTCAAGGTCATTTTTCTTTCTTCAGAGTTAATGAAAATGCGCCAAAGTTTCACTGATTATCTATCTAAACAGTGCTAAGCATCTTCTGATAAGAACAAATGATATATCGAAGCCATGAAAATCGCGACGAACTACAAGTCGAAAGTTGTGATTTCTCCGGATCGATATTTTTATAACTCAATGCACAGCTTCTCGCTCTTGTTCATTATGTTCGTAGTGAAGGATAGTAGGAATACTTATGGATAGGTAGACAACGTAATATCCAGATATCTAGAGCTTTAGAATTTAAGCTTTCTTCTAAACTGCGATCACCTTCCCAGCGGGGATGTTAATGCATGCGGTCCCAAGATAGAAAGGTGAGAATACACGTATCCAAGCAGCGAAATATAACGCGTCCATTCTCAGCTTTCTTCCCTCTACGGAATGTACGTGCATACGATGGATAGCCGCTGCCTTAGATAGCCGCTTCGACTGCTCAAGCAAAATGCGCCTCACTGGATATCGAAACATCTTTCATTTTGCTTCTCTTACGCAAACCCAAATGCGAAACGCTGCTCTGTCGTGAAGCGACGTCGCATTTAAACGGGTTGATGCTGCTAACAGTAGTCACAGTGACCCGTGATCCGATTGACTCAGATCTGGTCGTGTCTATCAACATATTCTCAAGTGGAAACCTATCTTAAAGGCAGTGTCTAGGCAAATCTGGTCGCATGGCTCTTTCGCCTGGAAATTGATGAAGGGGTCCTAACTAAGGCACTGCTCAAGTGGCAGCGCAAATTGTTCAATCACGGCTAAGAAATCCGTCCCCGAAAACCCCACGCCTGCGCCGTGCCGTAACCCAAAATGACTTCGCTCGCTTTAACACTATGTTCGCGCCGGACCAATCATGAGTGTTACAGTCATGGCGCAGGCGCGGGGTTTTCGGGAACGGATTTCTCAGCCGTGAATGAAATATTTGCGCTGCGGTTTGGGCAGTACCTTAGCTAGAGCCTCCTCGACAGTCTTTAAAAAACACATATGCCCAGATTTGCCTGGGCACTGCCTTTAAGAGCTCATACCCGTACACACCGCAAAGTATGCAAGATTCATGACAAGCAAAGACCGGGCGCCTTGCGTCCGGCCAAAATAGTTCGTGCATGGGAGAGACAGTAGATTGTAAAAGAAACGAAAGAGCGCTCAATCAAAGAGACGCCGACAAGTCCGCGTCTTCGCCTGCTGTGAATCGCCTACATATTCAATCTCAAGCCTGAAACATGCCTTCAGGTATAAATAAAATCCACAAAGCTATTAACTCGTTTTTACGAACGTACTTCAAAGTGAAATATACCTTGATCTGATGAGCACTGGCTTAAAGGCATCGTCCACCCAAATTCTAGACTTCTATGTTTTTGTCGCTTCCAGGCCTTCTGGAGGTCCTGATTCCGAATATGTAGTCGAGAATCCGCGAAATAATCAAAAAACCTCGTTTTGGAGAACGGCGCAATGCAAGTCGCAAGGCTGCGGCGCGTTATATGCCCGGCGTATATCAGCGCCGCAGCCCGCCAAACCTGCAAAATGGGCGGGGTGCCAGGTGGGCGGAGTGACCAGCTCCGGATTACGTCCCTTCCGGAGCGGATTTCTCGCTTTGGAAAGAATTTTTTGCAGCGCTACTTGGGGTTGGCCTAGTGTGGGGCCCAGATTAGTATGCCATCGTATCTTGTGAACCACTACTTTGGGTGAACGGTGCCTTTAAGGTACAATTCCTATATAAAGTTAACTTTGATCCATGCTAAAGTTGGATTTATTTCGAATGCGTACCTTGAGCCATGTTTACATCTGCGTTAAAGTTGCGTTCCAGAACGGGTAGTGGCTCCTTGGGGCTGATTTATACCTCAGGGTAAATTCAAACATTGAGATTCAACATATATTGTACTATGCGAATATGCTCTATCTGTTAATACGGGTATGCGCTCTCAAGATAGGTTTTACTCCAGTTAGTTGACAGTTACGGCCACCGGTTAGGCTTTTCCTCGTATGCGATCTTCACACGTTCGCGCCTTTTGCAACCGTTTGAAAACGACGGACGATCTGGATGCGAATCAGATTGTAAGCGATCACGACAACACTTTTAGGAGGGGAAGCGGTGTGCGTCCAAGCATACGCATTGTGCAGGAGAATTCATAATACCCAGGCTCACATAAACTACTTTAAGATAACAAACTAACCACGGAATCATTCACAGTGGGTAGGCAGTATTCCGACTGACATGACTGGCTCTTTGACATACCCTGTCTTTGCAAGGCTGTTTCTTCTTTACGCGTATTCTTCGATTCCGCCTGCAATTGTAAGTATATATAGTATATCTACCTTTTTTGAACGTTTTTCCTCTTTTCATTTTCAGTTTCACTTCTGCTTTTGATTAGAAAAAAGAAACATATTACGGTTCTACTCTACTTGCTAGGGAGTTGATGTGCTATTCGTTTATCTTGTTTCTTTCTCTTTACTTTCAGAGTTCATGGCTTCCTCTCAGGCTTAGAAATCGAACATCTTCATACATGTATTTATGACGAGCTGAATCTATCCATCACTTTATCTTGAATAAAATTATACAACGACGGCTGATTTCCAGACACACTTTTATATTAGGTTGTCCCAAAAGTTCTGCCGGTTTTTTCATTGCTCAGTAAAACTCACCAATCCACAAAAAATCAAGGCATCATTTATTTTGGATTTTTATCCTCTTTCTTACAGCTATATTTGTTCTTTGACATACCCTGTCTTTGCTATGCTATCGCCATGGCTTTCTGAGCAGCACAACGGTAACGTCAAACCTTTCCTGAATTTTGAAAATTTGTATTCAAATACTTTTAAAAAGCTATGGTAGCTGTTATGTAGAGCAAACCTTGGGCTACATCTTGCCTATTTTAAATTACATGATGAGCTCTTCTCAAATCCGTGATAATTATTTATTTAAGAAAAACCGCGGATTTTTCATTTAAAACGTAGAAGTACCGAAAATTCGAAAAAGCTGATTTTTCAAAGCAAATTAAACTTGGATGGTTGCATAATTTATGTTTAACAACAAATAAATCTCGATTCGCGAAAACTTTGAAAGTTTTCATGTTTTTGCTGTAGTTGCGTGTTTTATGACTTTGCCAAAAATCGAGACCTTCGAAGAAATAATTTTTTAGAGCTAAAAACAGAAGACTAATCTAAAAATATTGCCATATATCCCGAGAATAGCTCTATTTGGACCATAATTAATCCTTGCAGAAACTTTGAAATGAAGCTTTCAAATATTAGCCCAACTTCGAGCAGATAAAAATGACGTGTGAAGAATTTAGCAATTATCAAAGAAAGCATACATGATTGTGATTCGAAATTATAACCACAAAAAAGAGAAAGAAAAGCTATATCGAATGCATGTTCAATCTAATTCAAGTCTTCATTGAGCGCGGTGTTATAGTGGTATGAAAAGACCGACAAAACTTCCGGGACAACCTAATAAATCTTATCAAGTAGACTACTATTCTGAATTTTGCTGCTCAAAACACTTCATTCCTATTAATTCTATGCTAGTTTCGTGGTTAGAAAATGACTAAGTTTATACAGTAATGAACTTTTGTCAATATTTATCTCGAGCTTTCTATTTCGCATCGTTGCAAACCTCCTGCCGGATCAAAATCATTAGCTGAATACTTAAGTGAACTCAGACCTTATCCTTCTCGTTTTACTTTTCCACTAAGAATGTCGCATCTTTACATTATTGAATTTTTTTATCTTGCATCTGTTACATTCATATGCTCAAACACGGAGGAAGTGGAGGTGGTCGGTAGTGTAATGGACGCCTAGGTACGAGTGGATTCGCCCGCCTAGGTACTACCATCAAAGCGTGCCACTCAAAAATATCTGTTACCCGCACTAGGGTATCCCATCATGCTCCGTTATTTTGGGCACACATCCTACTACCTATGCTTCAGGCTTGCGATCGAAGCCTTCAATAATGTTTAGAGAAACTTTAAAGAAGATAAACTTTGCATACTAACATACTACCTCTCCGCAGATTGATTCATCATATCCGGAACTTTCTATCTTGTTATTATGATACGCAGAAGATTTAGCGATGTGAAAATGAGAGCATATCTACATATTTCTTGTATGTATTTGCATCATTCCGATTTTAGCGATTCTACTACCTAGCACATTACACTGTAGTAATGTATTAAGTAAATAAATAGTTGGAAGCTGGTTAACACATATATGCAATGGTTCACTACAGGCTGAAGGTGGTTGTTAAATCAAAGCGAAGCAAAACTGACTTGAGGGTGACTATCATTAGTGGCATCATATGCCCAACATCACGGAGATAAATAAGCTCCGCTTGGGTGTCCGCCAATAGACTCTATAGCAAACCCACGTTATTATTTACATCTTCAGTGGCTGTCTCCAGGGGTTCTACACGAAAGAGTCGTACACTGCTGATTTCTTAATTGATCCATCTGTTCCACAAACCTTTCTGCCCATGTTGTTGATGGTCTTCTTCAGGGGCGTTTCGCTTTACGTATCGACTCTTATGTTCTTGATGTCATTCTGTGGTTCTTCCCATGATGTGACTGGCGCATCAATAGTTGACCCTCATGTATTCTACCGAATCACGAGGATGGAACGCCCTTCTCCGTTACGAAGTACGAAGGGATTTTCTTTAAAGCAAAACTTCTTTCCAGCATTCAACTATATTATATTTACTCAAGAGGTCTGAGGCATTAGAGTGAATTGGAGGCACTGCAGAAGGACGGAACTATTATCGTGCAAGCCCAGCTTACGTTGGTGAGGAATTACGACGACCGTGGCGATCCCAGTTTTCTGGCGTTGTTTTCTCTACTTGAAATTGGTTTCTCTACTTAAAAGTCTTTTGGCAGAAAACAGCCATAGATTGAAAAATTGAATTTCTGATGCGATCACGTGTTATGCGATGTCTTTGCATCGTCAAAGAGGAAGGCGAGGCGGCTTTACTGTCCTGCAGATATACTAGGAAGTACATTCGTCCTTGTCAGTCGCCGACACAGGAATGTGAAGTTGGAAGCCGCCGGGAGAGCAATGCGGAAGTGATTTAGATACTCAATTATACAGAATTATGACACGCAAAGACTGGGCGCCGTTGCGTCCGACCAAGATAGTTCTAGCATAGGAGAGACAGCAGATGGTAAGAGAAACGAAAGAGCGCTCAGTAGGCGAGAAGCCGATACGTCCGCAGTCTTTGCGTGCTATGAATCGCCTATAGATACTTAGATGGCCCGTCCTCATGTGACGTGCGGGCCTCAGTGCAGAAGATTTCATTATTCCCTGTCCCTCGCCTCGGACATCTACGATCTTCTTGGTTGTCGTCGGTGGCTGCGTCCGCAAGTCCCAAGGGCAAAAATCGTATCCAGCTAATTTCCTAAGCTGGTCCATCCTTTCCACGAACACGTCTGCTCATCTCGTTGGTGGTCTTCCTCGGGGACTTTGGCTTATCGAGGAATCCACTCAGATGTTCTTAGTGTCTATCTGTCGTCTGTTCTTCTCATTTTGTACCAGCCCATCGATGTTTCTTGTTTTCGATGGCTTCCTTCAGAGGCCCGAAGGCGGCCCAGGCTGCTCTTCTTCTCCTGTTAAGTTCTTCCCTCAAGTCGTTCTCCATGTTCATCGAACGTCCGAGATACACGTAAGAATGCGTCTCCATAATAGGGGTGCTTTCCAATTCCATTTCTAGATCTTCGCAAAAGGCATTTTTCATGAACTGAGTCTTCTTCCGATTTATTCGCAGTCCTATCTTCTTCCCTACTTCGTTTAGTTCCTTCAGCATCGTTCTTTGCTTCAGTGACACTGCTCGAAAAGAGAGCAATGTTGTCCCAAAACGAAGGTTTGACAGGAAGCTCCCATCAACTCGTATGACTCTCGTCCCAGTCCAGTGACTTCATCACTCACTGCAAGGCCGCGGTGAACAGTTTCGGCGAAAATGTGCCGCCTTGTCGGACCCCTTCCCAATTGGGATGGTCAGGGGGCGATGGAACAGTTGCATCGTCGTTGTAGGGTCCTTATGGCAGTCGACCACGGTCCTCATGTAAGCTGAGCCCATTCCTTGATCGACTAGCGCTGACAGAATGGCGTTGGTTCCGAAGCTGTCAAAGGATTTCTCGTAGTCGACGAAGGTTAGGACGCGAGGCATTTGGTACTCCCGGCAGACTTCTATGATCCTCGAAACCGTCTGGATGTGGTCCATGAAGCTGAATCCTTTGCGAAATCCAGCTTGCTCTTGGGGTTGGGCTTCATCCAGTGTCCTGATATGCGTGCGAGGATAATCTTCGGTGAAGAGCTTGTACAGCACACTCAGCAGGCATATCGGACGGTGATTTCGAAGATCTTCCCGTTCACCCTCCTTAAAAAAAAGGACGGTTCTTGATGTTCTTAGGCCTCGAGCAGAGTTTACGCGACTTGATCCTCGCGATTCAATCGCTACAAGGCAAGCGTTACGAGTTCATTGCATGCCGATCTTCTTGTATTTTGGTTGTGATAGTTAGTCACGATTAGTTGTGTTGGAAAACTATCACAACCAAAATGCAAGAAGATCGACATATAATGACAGTGTTACAATTGCCTTGTCGCGATGAATCGCGACGAAATCGCGTGAACTCTGCCCGAGGCCTTAGATAATTTTGACTTTTTCATACTGCTTTTCGATCTGCCGAAAGGCGACTGCAAAGTGTTCAAATGCAAACGGTGCCCATGCTTGTCGCATTTCTTAGTATTTTTTGTCTTGTTTTTCTTTTCTTTTTTGTGTACTCATACCTGAACTCATTTCATCTGATGTTCCGTTTATGCGTAGTAAATAGCCGTGAGCATCCTAGTTGCTGATGCGAGATGTCACCTCAGATTCGTTTTGTTTCAGACCCATATGTTACAGTTTTCCCGAAGTTTACCCAATTTTACTTTCAAGTCCATAATCTGAAGGAGCTGAGTGCTTCTTGCAGCAAAAAGCCCAGCTCGTCATGTTTTTTTGGTCATGAAATCGAAAGCAGAGTGCTCTTCTCGTTGCCATCATTTCGTCGATCTTAATGATGTATGCTTTGCAGAACAATGCCATAAAGTCTATCCGATTCTAAACTACGTGACTGTTTCCATGCGATATGCCATTCTTATCTTGCAGAAAGTACCCCAGGATAATACCTGATCAATGACCAGTCGAATCTTTTCCTGGGTTCATCTACTATCATGAGGTTGCCAATTGCCTGGATTGCTTGAGCATCCC